ATATGACATGATACTATACATAGAGAATCCTGAAGATGCTACCAGAAAACTACTAGAGCTAATCAATGAATTTGGTAAAGTAGCAGGATACAAAATTAATGCACGGAAATCTCTTGCATTCCTATACACTAATGATGAAAAATCTGAAAATGAAATCAAGAAAACACTCTCATTTACCATTGCAACAAAAAGAATAAAATATCTAGGAATAAACCTACCTAAGGAGACAACAGACCTGTATGCAGAAAATTATAAGACACTGATGAAAGAAATTAAAGATGATACAAATAGATGGAGAGATATACCATGTTCTTGGATTGGCAGAATCAACATTGTGAAAATGACTCTACTACCCAAAGCAATCTACAGATTCAATGCAATCCCTATCAAACTACCACTGGCATTTTTCACAGAACTAGAACAAAAATTTTCACAATTTGTATGGAAACACAAAAGACCCCGAATAGCCAAAGCAATCTTGAGAAAGAAAAACGGAGCTGGAGGAATCAGGCTCCCTGACTTCAGACTATACTACAAAGCTACAGTAATCAAGACAGTATGGTACTGGCACAAACACAGAAAGATAGATCAATGGAACAGGATAGAAAGCCCAGAGATAAACCCACGCACATATGGTCACCTTATCTTTGATAAAGGAGGCAGGAATGTACAGTGGAGAAAGGGCAGCCTCTTAAATAAATGGTGCTGGGAAAACGGGACAGGTACATGTAAAAGTATGAGATTAGATCACTCCCTAACACCATACACAAAAATAAGCTCAAAATGGATTAAAGACCTAAATGTAAGGCCAGCAACTATCAAACTCTTAGAGGAAAGCATAGGCAGAACACTCTATGACATAAATCACAGCAAGATCCTTTTTGACCCACCTCCTAAAGAAATGGAAATAAAACCAAAAATAAACAAATGGGACCTAATGAAACTTCAAAGCTTTTGCATAGCAAAGGAAACCATAAATAAGACCAAAAGACAACCCTCAGAATGGGAGAAACTATTTGCAAATGAAGCAACTGACAAGGGATTAGTCTCCAAAATTTACAAGCAGCTCATGCAACTCAGTAACAAAAAAACAAACAACCCAATCCAAAAATGGGCAGAAGACCTAAATAGACATTTCTCCAAAGAAGATATACAGACTGCCAACAAACACATGAAAGAATACTCAACATCATTAATCATTAGAGAAATGCAAATCAAAACTACAATGAGGTATCATCTCACACCAGTCAGAATGGCCATCATCAAAAAATCTGGAAACAATAAATGCTGGAGAGCTGGAGAGGGTGTGGAGAAAAGAGAACCCTCTTACACTGTTGTTGGGAATGTAAACTGATACAGCCACTGTGGAGAACAGTATGGAGGTTCCTTAGAAAACTACAAATAGAACTACCATATGACCCAGCAATCCCACTACTGGGCATATACCCTGAGGAAACCATAATTCAAAAAGAGTCATGTACCAAAATGTTCATTGCAGCTCTATTTACAATAGCCTGGAGATGGAAACAATCTAAGTGTCCATCATCAGATGAATGGATAAAGAAGATGCACATATATACAATGGAATATTACTCAGCCATAAAAAGAAACGAAATTGAGCTATTTGTAATGAGGTGGATAGACCTAGAGTCTGTCATACAGAGTGAAGTAAGTCAGAAAGAGAAAGACAAATACCATATGCTAACACATATGTATGGAATTTAAGAAAAAAAAATGTCATGAAGAACCTAGGGGTAAGACAGGAATAAAGACACAGACCTACTAGAGGATTGACTTGAGGATATGGGGACGGGGAAGGATAAGCTGTGACAAAGCGAGAGAGAGGCATGGATATATATATACACTACCAAACGTAAGTTAGATAGCTAGTGGGAAGCAGCTGCATAGCACAGGGAGATCCGCTTGGTGCTTTGTGACCGCCTGGAGGGGTGAGATAGGGAGGATGGGAGGGAGGGAGACGCAAGAGGGAAGAGATATGGGAATATATATGTATGTATAACTGATTCACTTTGTTATAAAGCAGAAACTAACACACCATGGTAAAGCAATTATACTCCAATAAAGATATATATATATAAAAAAAAAGCTACCTCTAGTCTTAACTCATATATGAAGGGGTTATGCTCTCTGAGATTTAGTTTCCCCTAAGCTTCATGTCCTCAGCTTCCCAAGGTGTTTAAAATATACGTAATTTTGTAATTTACCTGGAGTTTCTTCCTTGTTATAGTAAGAATTATGGTCATTTATGACCATCTCCATCCTAAGGAGAAGCAGAACTTTGAAAACCTTCTGTTTTTGAAATTACTTTGTGAACTTTTTTTCTGAGTATGAAAACAATAATCTCTCCAAATATTTCAGAAAATCCAGACAATTGAAAAATACTTCATCAACATGCATTTTCATCATTTTTTAAGATTTCCTTAATCCTTTCTGAGTTGCTTCAATTTAAAAGTATTTGGTGTCCAAGTGGAAGAAATTTTGCTTTCTCTTCCAATCCTCCGTACAGACCTTAGCCTTCAAAATTCTTGTTTGTTTCTTTTCTGCTTGTTCTCCACTCTCCTTTCACATTCACCTTCTTTGATATGGAAGATCAAACGCATCACCCTTATGTTATGCAATGAAATTCAGCTCTCTAATCTCTCTTCCTTCAAAAAAGAATGCCCTTCATGGCACTCAGAAAATAAAGCTACGCCGAAGAAATTATGACCTCCAGTTACCAGGACTTTGATGATGAGATAGCATTGGTAGTTGGGAGGAGACTGATCCATTTATTTCCTTTATTATATAGCATTCAATTACAAAGCTACGGAAAACTATGGAAACATCACATCATAGGACAGCTATGGAAATACTCAGGTTTGTGGAAAGCTTCCTCTGGGAGGTACAATGAAACTTAGTGATCCTTTCTTGCCAAAGAGGAAAAAAATGAGTCCCAACCTACACATTACAGGGCAAAAGATCTCTCCTACAACATACAGCAAGGGAAAGGCACTAAAAGAATAAATAAGACAAGTGTTGTCAGATAAATTCCTCTGTTTGATAACATATGGCTCTTACCCTCCTTTTCAGTCAGTATCAGTGACTAGGTTTTGTCTTGTTCAAATACTTATTTTTTGGGGGGGCTGTCAGGGTAATTGTGAAATAGGCTGAAGTGAAGATCCTTTGGTGCCTAAAGACTGGCTTCTAATTTACATTGTTACAGGTGACACAGTGCTGCCTGGTGTTACTGGGTTATGTTTGGTGGCCTTGAACTGTTTCTCATGCACAAAATGGTACTAGTGTTTTACGTATTTAAAGATGATCTTCAACCTTAAAATGTTCTTTTCTTCTTTATTAAAATAAACTATAATCTAAGGCATAAAAATAGTTGGGATAAAGTCATAAGATTAATAATAATAATATTTACGTGCATTTTACATTTTTATGAACATTTTAATATTTGTTATCCAAATTGATAATTGCCTCAACTCTGTGAGGAAGGTGCTTATATTCTTTTTTTCATGTATGAGGAAATTTGAATGCATGGAAACTTAGATACAAAAAGAGAAGTGACTTGCCTAAGACCACAGGAAACTTAATGATAGAATTGGGTCAGTACTGGTCAACTTCTTACTTAATCTGTTAATATTTTGAACATATCACTGAGCAAGATCAGGTTAGTATAAGAGGGACATTAGTTTTCACTTCTAAATGCAGAGATAAAAATTGATGAAATGACTGTAATAGCAGCAGTTCAGCTTTATTTTTAAACGATGGTCAGAAACAGATTTCTGACCCCATTTTTCCTCCTCCTTCTCATTTAGCTTTTATTCTCTTATCACGAGGGTTACTCACAGCCATCTAACCAAATGAAAAGTATGGCTTGATTAAGAATCTCTTTTGTCTGTAATTTGTGCATAATGTTTTCAGCTCTCCCATGGGCTGTTGTAGAAAATGGTAAATCTGGTTTAAATGAAACCTGATCCTGTTAATGGTTTAATAGCAGCTGCCACAGGGTTATGGCATTTTTCAACAGATGCTTCTGCTTCATTTTAAACATAAACTAAGTCTTGGAATATTTATATAAATCATATAAAATATGCCTACATAATTTTGGTTAAATGTATTGTTATAAAATAATCTTAGGCAGGTCCCTATCTTTGTCCATTTATAATTATTCACACAGAATTAAAAAAAAAAACCAAAGGCTATACTCTATTTAAAAAAAAGATTATTCATGTCTTGCACTTTCCTAAAAATTTTTTTAAAGGCTGGAGAATAGCCTCCATCTCTAGTCTGGGGATGTGAACAATGGCTTGGTCAATCTGATCATTCTATCCATCTTTATGCCTAAGACTATTTACTTAGCACTGACAAATTGCTTATACAGTGATGTGCATTATAGTGTCAACTGAAATATACAGAGTAGTCACGAAATTAAATGGGACACTATATTTCTTTGAAGAGGTAGACCTTGTAATAGTTAACTCAGACTATCATTATGCCCAGGATTCGTTTCTCTGGAGTGTGATAGTTTGTTCAACCATTTTTTTTTTTTGAAGAAAAGCATTTCTTCTGTTCAAAGCACTTGTGCTGGTTACCTGAATGATACAAAGAAGAATGACAGGCAAGTAAAGCAATAAGACAAAAGATAGAAATAGTTATACAAAGAGGTACCAGCTCAAGCAACAATACAGTATACCACTTTAGTTAACATATCACAAGTTGAAGTCCTAAAGCTCATAAAGGGCAGAATCTTGAACTGGCAGGGTCAAATTTGTCTGTTTTTTGGGGTCATACTTTCATGGTGGTATATTTGCTCAATTACCTTGCGCTGGAACATTTATTTATGTGACTGCACCCAATGGTGAGTTTTTAAGAGCAAACAGTAAAAGTACAAACCAATTCTTAAACTCTAAATTATCTGTGGGCGTCACTGACTGTGATGTGTTTCTAAATACAAGCATCGTGATCTTCCCCTGTCCTAATGTCTGTCCTAGGTACTCCCGTCTAAGAAGGATGTGAAACCTGGTGCCGCTTTCTTGTTTGAACTCATTCTCCATCGTGGGAAATATGCTTGTCTCCACCAAGTTGTGGGCTGGACAACTTTCCCTTTGTATGATAGCAGTTTGGATGTAGTGGAGGGAAAATTCAAGTGTCCACTTCTCCGAGGACATTATGACCAGAAACTCGACAACTTCAGGAAAATTGAAGATTTGATTTGCTTGGACCTGGACCACTGGCTGTGCAGTCTCTACTTTCAGGTTTGCAATATGATTTTGTGAATGGGAAAAAGAATTAAAAAATTTTCCAAAGCTGCTTCTTTCTAGCCTTTAGCTTCCTTTCATGATATTGAAAATTCCAGTATCAAAACCTATAAAAGTAATTACATCTTAATACTGATTTCTCGTAATGTAGATTAAATTTATGTCTACAAACAAGGGGTAAAATTCTAGAGTTAGAAATCTTAAGGATAATTTAATCCAGACGTCTATGTTATAAATAAGTCCGGACAGCCATCCAAGTCCCCTGATTTCTCAGTTTACAATCTGTTGCTGCTGGAGCAGACTGCTCTCACCGACATGGGCCGGGGGATATATTTCTTTATTGAAAGTTCTTATTGAGCTTCTGTTGTGTGTCGAGCATTGCTTGTTCCAGGGATATGAAGAGATAGATGTGGTCTCTGCCTTCTGCATACTTGACATTTATTTGATGAGACCAACAACAGATACCCAATGACCCACATTTCCACAGGATGAAAGTGGCCATCAGAAAGCTCTCTTGCCATACACATGGCTTCAATGTAAGCTGCCTAGTTTACATAAAAAATCAAAAAAAAAAACCCATTTGGTCACACATCATTTATTGGTATAGGTTTGGCATTCTATTTTCTAACCAAGTCTTTTAGCAGGAATGCTGTTGTGTAAATTCATTTTAGGCCACCACCTTGGAGGATCCAAAAAAGAAAATGAGAGCATACATGAAATATAAAGCATTCCAACACATTTTTAGTCAAATTATTTTTGTCTTATATGTCCAAATTTGTTCTACCTGTTTATCTTATTTTTCTGGGGTGCTTGTATCATAAAATGCTATGATTTATTTTCTTCCTTACCTGTATGTTTGATTTTTTTTCAGTCTGTCTGGCTTTTATCCATTACACATGGACATAATTGTACACTAGTTTTCTTATTTGATAGACAGTAACAGAAGTTTTCTCCCTGTGTACATTTCATAAGGAGTTGGGGAGGGGTAGTGAGTCCTACTAATGAGAATAGTACTATTATTCAAGATGTATGATTTTCTGATTGTAAGGCAGAATAAGTACGAATGTAGATGCTTCTCTTTCACAGGATGAAAAGGAAAAATTTTTGTCTTGAAACCCTATTTTCCTCCTTGTGCAATTGTGAAATATGTGGATTTTTCTGATGTGAGTTTTCTCAAATGCAAACATTTCTGGACAAGTTAATTTTGAGTAGTCCTTTTAGGAGAAGAATAACTTGAGGTTGGGAAGAGAAAAGAAAGATAAAGTAGATAAAGTAGATATTGGAACAGAAAAGTGGTTTTGCAATGCAGACTTAGAGATTAGAGGAAACAAGTAAAGTCCTGATCATTTCCCTGCGGTGTCTGTTGGAGGAAGGAAACTGCCACAGTCAGAGAGGCTGGCAGAGCCAGGGTGTGTGCCTCAGCCATGACCTCGTGTGTTACTAGGGGTAGAACTCAGGCTAATAACCCTAAGCTTTAAGGAGGAGACTGGAAGTTGTTCTGATTCAACCCCCAGAGTGGGTGTGAAAGAATGTAAGATGGAAAATTATGCAAGGAAGGTAGCCTTTAACTTTTTTCTAGAAAACCTTTTCTATTAATCCCTCACTTTCCTGAATACTTCATTTCCTGTGTCATTGATTATTTCTACCAAGCATTTTATTATTAACATTTAAACATAGAGAAAAGTTGAAAAAATTGCATATTGAGCACCCTTATATTCACCACTAGGTTCTACCATCTGATCATTTATTTTTGAACTTAAAATATTGTTTCTTGAAGATAGTAAATACTTGCTAGTAACTGAATATTTGCTAATTTTATTCCAGCATGAATATTAGACACACAGTGTTATTTGGAAGAAGAAATTAAAGAAATGATAAGATAAAACAAAGAAACTAATAAATATATAGAGCAATGACATTGTATGTAAACCTGTTAATACAAAAAATGCATTTTTTGGTAATGAAACCAAACAAAAACAAATGGAAGTTTTAGGAAGATTGAATTCATTGTTGACCTTTTGGATTTTGCAAATTATATCCTTGTTTTAGAGAAATAAATAGCTGTGTGTGTAATATTTTCAACAGTTTCAATAACAGGTCTATCTTTTAATAGGTAATTAAACTTCCTCTACATTTGGATGATCAAGAAAACCATGAAAGGTGTATTCAGCTTCCCCCTGAATTTCCAGTTTGTTTAATGGCTGAAGCAGAGGAAGCAGAATCAGGTGTCGATAACACAGCTGGCCTTTCAGAGAAAGAAACAGAGAAAAACATTTGTGCCTCAAGGGGTGATGAAGCTAAATCCTCATCACTCTTGTCTCAAGGTTAGTTCTCACTTTATCAGCATTCTATTACTAATATTTCAAGTTTTGTTATACTATATAAAACTGGAAAAGAAGTAGTATTAGTGTATTTCTTTCTATGCCTTGCCATTTAAAGAGAATGTAATCATAGACAAGAATACTAGTTTTCATATTGCATAATTATAAATTACATAATAAAATAGAAAATTCCTTGAAACACATTACTTGTTGCTCTAAAATTCTTTCTTGCCTGCTCAATGAAAGAGAGTTGTTTTCAGAATAAAGTTCTCAAATAATATAATTTATTTTATAAGACTTTGTTTTCAAAGGCTGGTTTAATCAAGCACTAAATAAGCAAATAACATTGTTTGAAATATTCAATGTACAAAAGTTTCAATTTACAGAAGAGATACATTAGAGATTATTATTTTTTGTAAAGAATTATTCCCTTTACCCAAAGGGAATAACTCCCTTTCCTAGGTATGTAATTATAAACAATATAGAATGTATTTTCTATGTTTATAAAGTTTATATAAATATATCATACCTTACGTCTACTTTTGGAACTTTATTTTTTCTCAATATTATCTTTGATTTACATACACATACAAACACACACAAACACATATATGTATTTCTGGTTTATTGATTTTATTTCTGTATAGAATTTCTCTACATGATTGTAACAAAATTTGTTAATTCTTATTGTTTATGTTGTTATCAGTTTCACTCTATTGCAAACGAGGCTATAGTGATTATTCTTGGACATGTCCTCCTGTGCTCACAGGTGTGACTTTCACTACAGTATATCTACAGGGAAAGGAATCACTGAGTCAGGGCACACACACCCAAAGTTTACAGCATAGTGACACACTGCCATCCAGCTGTATCAATTTCTAACCCAATAGCTGTGTAGCAGAGCCTCTTTGACTCACATCTTATCAATCCTTGTTACTGTCAGTTTTGTCAATTCAGTTGGAATGAAATGATATTTGTGTTTTCATTAGAATTTCCTTGAATACAAGAAAGGTTTTCATATATTTCTGTTGACCATTTGGATTTTATCTTCTGTGACAATTACCTGTTCCTATATTTGGTCCACTTTTTCTTTGGGTTATTACGTATTTTTCTTATTGATCTGTACGAGTTCTGGTGCCTTTTTTTTTTTAGGTGTGGTGAATGGTAGGAAAGTCTTGATTTCTGATTCAATTTTTGATTTTTAATGATTATTCAATCACTTTATTATTAATTTAATTCTAATTGGATTAACTTAGTCTAAAACTGATGGGATTAGCATTGTCATATTATTGTATTACCTTTTAAAATGCATTCCCTTCTGTTACAGTTTTGTTGGATAGGCAATACATTTAAATTGTTCGAAATAAAATCTGTCTCCCCTTGCTGCTCTCCCAGCAAACTATTGTTCTCCTTGGAGGAATCAGTGCTTTTCATGTATTATTCGAGAGATGTTTTACATATCTATAGGAAAACATATAAGAATACTATCATAATTTTAAAATAACACTGAATCTATAGTTATATTCTTCTTTTCATTCCTAATATTGATTAAGACATACGTTTTTATTCATTTTTAAAAATATACAATTGCTCATTTGCCTCCGTTAAGACTCTTGATTTTTTGTTTACTCTACATTTATATTCTTAGCCTTATTATTTGTTTACTCATTTTCTTCATATTTTCTTTGGGGTTACTTTTAAAATCTCCTTGATTTGAAAGCTTAACACATTTATCTTCAGTTTTTATTTATCTGATGTGTGAAATCTCCAATTATGACTGGATCTGTCCATTTCTCCCTGTAATTCTGCCAGATATTGCTTTATGTATTTTAAATCTGTTTTAAGTGCATTCAAGTTTATGATTGTTACAGTTTTTATGATGTTCTCATTTCTTTTATATAGATGTAGTCTCTCTGTATGTCTATTAATGCTTTTGGATTTACCATCTAGTTCTTCTGATATTAATTCTACCATCTGATTTTTTGATAAATATTTTCACAGCATATATTATATTTTTACACTTTATTTTAAAAATTTAAAATTCTCCTGTGGTGCCCTTTTGGATATATCTGTTTTAGCAGTATAAATCTGAATTTTATTTTTGTACTCGAGACAAGTAGATGTGTGTCTTTTAATAGGTAAGTTTAGGTTTTTTGGTAATTATTCTTATTACTGTTCTATTTGTACTTGATAACATTTTATTTTGCATTTTATGTTTACCTTCCTATTTCTTTGCCTTTAAAGAATACGTTCTTTTTTGAATTTCTCTTTAACTCAAAATAATTATTTTATTTTATTTTTCCTATACTTTTGTTTTTATTCATTTATTTATTTTTCGGCTGCATTGGGTCTTCGTTGCTGCACACGGGCGTTCTCTAGTTGCGGCAAGCGGGGGTTACTGTTCGTTGCAGTGTATGGGCTTCTCATTGTGGTGGCTTCTCTTATTGCAGAACATGGGCTCTAGGTGCGTGGGCTTCAGTAGTTGTGGCACACGGGCTCAGTAGTTGTGGCTCACAGTCTAGAAAGCAGGCTCAGTAGTTGTGGTGCACAGGCTTAGTTGCTCCACGGCATGTGGGATCTTCCCAGACCAGGGCTCGAACCCATGTCCCCTGTATTGGCAGGCAGATTCTTAACCACTGCGCCACCTGGAAAGTCCCTTCTGTACTGTTTTTAATCTATAAATTTTATTGTTATTTTAGCTATTATCCTTAATTTTCTTATCTACATATTTAAGTATAAATTACATTTAAAACTCTAACTTTATTCAATACTTCATTTCTATTCTGAGTGTGACAAGGATTTTTAGTGTGCTTTAGCTACTCATTAAACACCTTTGTGTACTTTTATGTTATTGTTGGCTATGCCTTCGGTTTCACTTTTTTGTTAAACAGAGAATCTAGGGTTTTTGTTTTTACTTTCAATATAAAATTAATTTACTGACACATTTGACAGTATCTGTGCTTTATAATATTTTAATGTAACACGTCTTCAGTCTGGTTCCATTTTTCTTCTTGTTGAAATAAATCTTTAGTAATTCATTTAGAGTTTGGATCTGTGAGTGGTAAACTCTCTTAGTCATCGCATGTCTGCAAAAGTCTATTTTTCCTTACTTTTGGTAGATCATTTTTCCATGTATAAAATTCTAGGATGCTAATAATGTTCCCTCACTGTCTTCTTGGGTCTAGTGTGGCTGATGAGAAATCAGCATTAAATGGATAGCCACGGATGGATCTTAGGAAGGCGAGTGATGTATTTCACTTTCTATTCTAGGCAGGTCCCTCTGGTAATTTTTAGGAGGCTTTATTTGAGAAAGGCATGACTAGAAACAGATCAGTTAGGAAAAGTTTAGAGCAGTCCAGGCAACAGATAAGGGTCTGAATTAAGGCAGAGATAGTAAAGTTGGAGAAGAGAGTACACATTTTTATAGTATTAAAGAGGTGGAATAGAATGACCATAGGACTAAGAATAAGAATGTTCCTGTTAATTGGATATGGATGGCGCAGGAGAATTAGGGATGATTCCTAATTTTTTAGCATGAGTAGATATGGATATCAAACAGCAAATAACAGGAAATAAAGGGGGAAGGACAAGATTAGAAGAAAAACCATGAGCCTGATTTGGGACCTACTGAGTTTGAGATTCCTATATTATACCCAAGTAGAAACGTTCAGGTGATCTTTGGAAAAATGCATGTGAAGCTCAGGAGAGAGGTGGAAGTTGGGAAGGAGAATATGTCCATTAGAGAGGCATAAATACCTAGACTCTAGCTGAGACTGGTATGTGGTAGATTTCAACCTGGGAGAGTATGTAGAATGATGAAAGTGTTGGAATGAGGGCATAGCTCAGGAAAACAGCCATGTTTCAGAAGGATGCTGGATCCCTACTATAATCAGACCCAAAGCCTGTACTATTTGACTTCTTAGGTGACATTCATCTTCCTTGTCTCGTTCTACCTATCTGCTGGGCAGCACAGAGCTTCATATTCAATTTCCAGTGATAAACGTTTCTTAAGTTGTGCTTGGAGTTTTCCAAATCCCTTGGAGAATTTTTGCCTTGTTGGGCCAAGTAAAACTCCACTGATTGCTAAGTTCAATTTCTAGAACCCCACTTCCTTCCATAACAGGCAAGTCCAGCGCAAGCCCTGGGCTTCTGTATTCACACCTGTCCTGTTTCCCTATGAGTAAAACCATTATCACCAGCCAATGATTACTGAGACACCACCACCTCCAGAGAACTCAGTGTCATTTTATAGTGTCATGTATACCTGGAAATGTTATATTGAAATTTTATACACAGAATTCATATATGTTGAATTATGTCACTGGCTTTAAACAAATATTTGTGAAACTGAATTAGAAATGATATATATATATATTGGCACTAGGTAATAATTGCCAACACTATAAGGCAACTTGATTAAAGTATATTGCTTCTCACACTTGAGAACTTCGATTTGCTTTACTCATAGCCTGAGAAGGTAGGGGGTGACCGAAGTCATGGTCTAGGTTTAGAGAATAATGGGTAGAGTTTGCTGTCCTCAACATGCACACCTTTAAGCATTCTATGTTGGGTTTTAATAGGTTTAAGGCTTTGGCTTTTTTATTTTAAATGCAAATATCCCAGGTGGCTAACAATGGGTATGCCATTGTCAATATTCTCAATGTGGATATGGGGAAGATGGGGGGGGCGGATCTAAGGCACTGGCAATCTAAGAAAGAGTAGAGAGTGCCATAAAAGGGCAGAGAAGGAAACAGAAGTGAAGGGCAGATTTAGCCTCATTCCAAAATGCTTAGTGAAGCTGCTCTGTCGAGGACATTCGTGGACATTGTGATTAAGTCTTACTCAGTCCTGTCTTCAGAAGAAAGACTTTTACCCACCTCTTGTCTACATCAAATCAGATTAGTCAGGCCTTCCAACAGGAGGGCTTGGGATGCCCTCATTCTATGAAAATAAATTAATTTAACAATAGCACATAATCTGTGTAACCTGGGAATCTGAGATGT